TATATATATATATATATATATATATATATATTTTAACGGGACTTGGATTTACTTTTCAATTTATGAAAATCATACAAATTATTGACCGCACGATTAATTAGTGAAAGAAAATTGATTTGTAAAATTTTAAATTTGAATGTTATGAATAAAGAAATAAAGGTTAAAAAGTTTTTTCTTTTATGATATTTGATATGATTCAACTTTAAATTAATTAAAAGTTAATATAACTTCTAAATATTAAAAAAAATTTATGAAAGAATTTTATAAAAAAAATCATACAAATTAATATATTGATTAATGTCATAAAATTTTATATTATTACATATATGTTAAAAAATACAATCTTTCATAGAGTACTTATAAATGTTTGATTAACCTGAAATTTGGTATGATTTACATTAATAAAACAATCAATTAATCCAACTATTAGTCTTTCAAAACATCTGAATATATACTGTACTACCACAAAAAAAAAAGAAAAGTTTTGACTGGGGGGAGAAGTGAGAACCATCTTTAGGATTCGGATAAAGCTTAGCATTAGAGGTAGGTAGTGATATGATAAATAAGAAATACTGTCCTGGTTATTGAATCTGATTATACACGTGATATAATCAACACAATAATCCACGGTCATATGTTCTACAGCAAAATTTTGACAATTGATGGAAAGATTAAGTTTTTTTGGCTTGGCATGGCTGCTCATAAGTTGTTTTCATGAATATTGCTAATGTTTTGGGATCATTTTCTTTCGGGCTCTCATTTAACCGCTCAACTTCCATTCTGCAAAATGTTAATTTCGGCGCTATTAACGGTAACCTTGACTTCCCACATACTCAGCGAAGCACTGTTGGAAAATATCCCATTGATTATCAATTCACACATCAAAGACTAGGTGCCATCAGATTGATGTTCGTACGCATCAAAAATCTAATTTATGGGCTAAATCCTTGCCTTTTGTCTTAGAATTTAAAACTATATTTTAAATATTGTAAAATACAAACCATGAGATCAAGCCAACCATGAAATTAGGGGCACGTATGTTCTTGCATTCAATGAAAGTTATTATATTTAATGATTTATATTTTGGAATTTAAACTGTACAATATTTTGTTTTTAAAAAACCTATTAGTATCAATTGCTCCGCCTTAATTGATACAATGCACTAAAAACAAGGGTAATAATTGTACTTGTAGATAGGTTTAGGAACTTAACAATTTGTTAATTTTAATCCTTACCCTGTATTAGAAGTTAAAACTACAATTCACAGATTGTAAAATACAAATCTTGAGATTAGGCCTATCCATGAGATTAGGGGCCTGCACGTTCCCACATTCAAGGAGTCCCTATATTTAATGATTCATATTATGAAATCTAAACAGCATAATACTTCCTTTTAAAAAATTATTAGCATCAATTACTTTGCCTTAATACAATGGTAAAAAATAATTAGGGTAATAAATGTACTTGTACATGGGTTTAGGGACTTGACAATTTGTTAATTACGGTGATTGTCAAGACATAAAGTTTGAAAATTTCAAATTAAAGATTTGAACTTTCAGTAATTGGATAAGGAAGAGCTATCTATCCATGTCAAGTGGAAAAACAGAGCTAGACCTATGAACAGAATCTAGCCTTTGCATTGACATAGGCCCCAAAAATATTCCTGTATAAAGGTGGTTCTTGTGTTGTGTATGTTACAATTACACACGAGTATGCAATGAAAAGACGATGAAAAGAATAAGTGGAATAATAAATTTGGAACTTACTTTCTCTGAATGAGAATAATAGATTATTTTTAGTTTAGAATTTATCTCTTAATAATAATCATTTTTTATTTTTTAAGAAAGATAAATATTTTTTCTACTCAACCTTTATAATTAATTTTTAATTTTATTTATCCATCATATTTTAAAAAAGGCTTATCATTATGGACAGAGGGAGTAAATTACCCTCCCTTCACATTCATATAATTAGAAACCACTTGAGATTTTGACTTGAGAATCAGCACGAGGAGAGAATTTGTCAAACAAGACAATTGAAAGTCTCCCGAAGTCCAACAACGGTCGGAAAGATTGTGGGAAAAGCATATCTGGTTATAGAACTCATCCTCAGCCACAAATCATGTAACCCAAAGATAATGCAGGAAAAGGAGAATCATTGTGTGCAAGTGGAGGACAATGAACATTGGATTCTAGGGACCCCGTTCTCTCCCCTGGTAATGAACAATAGAGGAAAATTCTGATTAAAGCAGCAAAAACCTACTTTTAGCCCTAAACCTACTTTTAGCCATAAACCTACTTTTAGCCCTTTACCTTATCAAGTTTAAAAGTTTTAACTCTTTACCTTATATTATGACACTTTTAACTCCTTACTTTACTAGATTTTTAGGTTTTAACCTCTCACTTATTAAAATCAAAGAAAATAACCCTCATTTTATACTAACTATTAACTTTGTTAGCTGAAAGTAGATTTTTATCAACTAACAGTCAACTAATAACCAATTAACAAAATTAATGAAATATTATAAAATTAATTCTGTTAATTCTATTAGCTGAAAGAAAGTTTTTAACAGCTAATAGTCAACTAACAATCAGTTAATAAAATTAACAGTAAATTAACAGAACTAACAAAATGTTACAAAGTAAGGGTTATTTTCTTTAATTTTAATAGGTGAGGGGCTAAAATGGTTATAGTATAAAGTGAGGAGCTAAAATGGTTATAGTATAAGGTGAGGGACTAAAACCTTCAAACTTAACAAGGTGAGGGGCTAAAATGTGCTTTTGCCGATTAAAGCAGCTACAATCCCAAATGAACCCCTCTTTTGCAGTCCAAACAGTACCAGACTGCAAAATAGGGACCATTGGATGGAAAAGGGTTCCTAATATCAAAATATCCACCTACATTCAATGGTAGTGCAATACAGAATGTAGAACACTTTTTCCATTCCAGATTGAAGTGGAAACACTCAGATAACAATCATCACATGTTATGATTCTATACAAAAAAGTATAATTTTCATCAACCAATTTTGTAAAGGTAAATGTCAGCGCCAGTGTCAATTTCAGAGGACACCTTATATCATTCATCCAGCCATGCACCTTGGCTAACAAGACTATACAACATCTGGTAGTCAACTGCTTTCTGATATCTAGAATTGTCCTTTTGGTCTTGGTTCTTCATTAAAAGAACAATTCTCAACAAACCACAAGGTAAACAATTCAAAACTCTGGTAATGGTTATTAGTTAATAAGAGTCTCAAAAGATCTTAATCCATGCACACACACATGAAATAGGTTTTCCTGAAAATCATTGAATCAAGTTGGACCAAGTAAAAAATATAATCTGATTTTTTCAGCAGCACTTACATTGTTTGACCAATTGATTCCGGATCATCAGGTTTCATTTCTTCATTGAATAAGTGAGTGTGAAGATGCCGTGTAAAACTGGTCGTTGTGTCCAAGAAATAGAGAATGAATGACATTATGCAGCAGCAGAGAAACATGGGTATAGGCCCAAAGGTCCACAAGAAGAGGGGGAATGACAAATAGAAAGCACGCAGTCCAAGCGACCAAAAGAAACTTCCTCTGTTCAAGTTTCTGGCAACGTAATCAATGGAATCCTTATTGCCTTGTGATGTAGGGACAGTGACCAAGAAACTTACGTGGGCATAGTATCTAATAGACTGCACATTGCAAAGAAAGGCCAGTAGGAAACACAGCAAGATAGAAAAATACTTGATTGAAGAGATCAAGTGTGTCGTATTGCCATAAACTAATGCATTTCCAGAGTCTGAAGCACTGCTGCTCACAAAAACACTGATCAGTGAACTAAGTGTGATTGCTGTTGTAGCCAACAGTGTAGATGCCATAATGTTGTTACGTATTGTTTGAACAGCCAAAACACCATTCTTCAGGGGATCCTGAAACATAAAAATGGAGGTTATTCTTGAAATTAATGTTTGGACTAATTCTAGACAAATATAAAAATTAGAATATCTTCTGACAAGCTGTAGTTCTGAAGAACCACATGAGGATACTAGAAACCATGGAAGATGATTCACTGTAAATACTTTCATTACAAAACTCCTCAGTTTTATAATTTTGGAGAACCTTCAGAAATGGCTAACCACTGAACTGAACAACCAGCATCCCGTCCCCCACCGCACAAAAACCAACCAAAAGAAAAAGAAAACTAGGTTAACTCAGACTCATCATTTCCATCATTATGTTTCTGCAAATAAAAGCATAGAAATGAGGATCTTGTTGCCTTGAAACTTTGTTCTACAAGTATTCTTCTTAATGCAGAATTAGGTTGGTTCTGTTTACTTATTGTTAGACTATTAATTGAAAACAAATTAAATGACCATGATCAGAGAAGTTATCTTCCTGTTCTAGGAAAGAGTTCCAACCAGTCAGTCTCTACATCATGTTTTTGAACTCTATAAGATTTGCTATTGTGTGTTAAGCTTTTAGTATATAGCTTTTTCTAGACAATGCAACTCAATCAAGTAAAATTACAAATATTGAATTTGAATAAATATACACCTACAGTGCAGTTAGTTACTGCAAATACAGATGTAAAAGAGTTGCAGGATTCAAAATGAAGCTCTTCATAAAACCTTCCAATTCTCACTATAATACAGGAAACAGAAAGGCATTTTTTAAAAAATTTTCTTGGAGTTGTCTTATATTCTACCTACTTGAGTAAAAGTTACATTTTCTCACACCACTAGTGCAATTATTGATCAATTCATTTCATGAAACAATTATGGTAATTCCATGAGCATCAAGCTTATTGTTCAAATTATAACTGAACTGTTAGCACAGCTACCTTACTTTGATAGAAGACAAGCTTGAAAATGGACCTTTAAATTTAACAATCAACCGTATACTTTTGATCCTTCACCTGCTTCTATTTCCAGTACATTAATGAAGTAAACTTAAAGAAGAGATCATTCTCAACAAAAATTCAGATCCTATTCTCTTCAATACTACATGGGATGCACTGTACTTTCCCTTGTGACTCATGGATGGATGTACAAACTTAAAAAGGAAATGCAATATAATCATGGTCCTCAGAGATATTTTGCATTGCAGCTTCTCTAACATTACAAGATTATCAAGTGCAATAAACTGCAATGAATTCGTCCCTCCCTAATTATTTCTACCATTGACCCAAGATATTAGGAACCTGAGCAAAACAAAATTTCAGGTTTCAAATTCTTTTAAGGTAAATAGACACTATTTCATCTTGACTTGCAAGTAGAGTCAGAAGCTAACAATAGAATCACATTACAACTTAAGCTTCAACAAAAGAACCATGGAGCTAAAGAAAATATGTTCTTGCAGGTTGGATCACAAACTTAATAAGAATAAAAACATATCTAAGACAAGATTCAAAGCATAGAAACTACCTTTTAGTAACAAATTACAGTGTAGTAAGTATTATGATAGCTTTTGCAAATTATTTGTCTACTAATGGTGCTGCCATGGAGAATACCTCGGATAACAATCAACAGAAGTTTAGAATCATAAGAGCTTATGAAATTTTTTTATCAACACTGGAACATGAAACCATAAGACAAACTCTTAAATTGTCTTAAGCATAAAGTATCTCAGAAGATGGAGCCACAGGTTGTTGTAATGGTAGAAGTCTTGCTATGACAAATGCAAAAGTGGAGTTTCAAATTCTGGGAGCAGCCATCATAGCCAAAAGGCAGAGAACTTTTTTAATTCACCCCTGCTAGGATCCCAGACCAATTGGACTCTAACTATTTATTATTTAAATAGTGACAGAAAATATCTTGAAAACAATCCTAAACGAAGTGATTTTCCATAAGATCAGCATTGATCAGGTTCAACAAGATTATCTAACTATGTTGTTTTTTGCAGCTAACAAAATACAAGGCTGATACAAGAAATAGCAAGGGGAATGCTCTAATGTTTATCACTCAATTATTGTAAGAGTTAAAAAACCTGTCACCTAATTTTTTTCTATATGGGACTACTTTAACTCCTTTTAAGAAAAAAAAATTCCAACATTTTCACCATCTTGCATGACCTTATGTTTTACCAAACCATATTGCTCAACCTACTAGCACTTGTCACCAAACATCCTAGGATGCAAAAAGAAGGTACTCTGAATCAATAGCGTAGAATTAAAGGATTGCATAAGTTTTCCAGTCAATCCCAGACAACTCATCTTACAGTTAAATAGCAAATAGTCATTTCCTAAAGATTTTTCTTTTGGCCAACCATGTCCTATAGATGAGGAATGATATTTTATCACATTCTTTGAAACCAAAATTTGAAAACTCAGCAAATTTATTGTTGAGTTTCGTTGAAGAATTCCTTTTTGTCAATCTCTTACTAAAAAGGGGAAAAAGAGAGTAGAAATTTTGCATTGTTCAGAGAATGCATAATTTACATCCATTCACAAGAACCATATAACACAAAATGGAGAAGCATATTGCAGTGATAAGGTAAGCCATGCTTTCTATAGTAGGAATATTCTATAAAAAAAAAAAAAAAAGAAGAAGAAGAAAATCCAATACGCATTGTGTATAACCAACTGAAGCAACAAGAACAACAGGAACAGATTTAGCTGACTAAATCTCAAATGTCACTCAATCAAACAGATAAGACGGTCAAAACATTTATCTTTAGCTACAACCTAACAAAGCTAGCATTGACTCTTGTAGACCATACAAATTCCAAACCCTGTGAATGATTACCACAGAAATTTAACTAGTTTACCACATGCTATTTTTAGTATGCAAATAAATAACAAGGAGCCAAGGTCTCATACATGTCTGACATAAAAAAATACCAATATGCATCTGCAACTTACAAAAAGCTTCTTTTATACCAAAAAAAAAAAGAAAAGAAAAGAAAAGAAAAAGCTCCTTTTATAGAAACAATGAATTCTACAGGAAAAATGATTCAGAAAATGGTTTCTTTGGGAAAATATTCAGCAGCTTTTCTTTATTATTGATTTCGTTTTCCTCAACTGAAATTGTGTTTCAATAATCAAAACTTTCTTTTCTCAGGATGCACTCAGTCAGATTTCAGTACACAGTCACATGCTTAACTCCCCAAAGTCACCATAAACCCATAAGATAGTAGACAATTTTAGCTTCATAGAAACTCAGTTCAAGACTACTTCCGAGAATCACATTTAGCAGTTGCTACCACACGTAGACTAACCCCAAACCTTAATCAGGATCAAAAAGCCAATCTGGAATAATACCTTTTTCATAGTTTTTACTTGAATTTTCATCAATCCCCCACAGGCCAAAACCACAGACTGACCAAAGATTTTTTTTTTTTTTTCTTTTAAATAACAATTATCAATTACCCTAAGTGGGTTTTTAAGTATACATTGAATTAAGCTCCCTACAACAACAATAAGGAAAACCCAAAAAAGAAACAATTTTGATGACCAAGTTCATCATTTCCTCATCAGGTGCATCAAAATGTTGAAAAAATAGTCCATACCCATGAGTATAAACAAGGAATTCATGGCAATTATCCACAGAAGAAAAGGTGAATCAGTAAGAGAGAGACAGAGAGGACTTACAGCCATCATGCATAAAACCCATTGGTGGCGAGACTCGGCGTTAATTCCAATCACAGTTCTTTTGGGATATTTTACAATGGTGAAGAGGAGCCAAACATGATAAAGAGCCAAGAGAAACAGCCCTATGGGAACTAGTAGATAGTCGACTTTCCCTTCCTCCATTTGTTCTGTTCTTCAACAGTAAACAAAAATAAAACCCAAAAAAGCAGGAAACAACAGTTTGTTCAGCAGCTCGTCGGCAGAAGACCAAACACAAGGGACATTAATGACAACGAAAGTGAAGTTCAATTGTGTCGTGTTGTGTATTGATAATTTTCCAAGATTACGGATAACTCTTTATTTTAAACACGATTCACACTTGGAGAGTTTTTACAAAGAACAGCTACAACATCATACGAAAGGAGTTATGCAGTGCTTAACATTTGACATAAAATACTTGCCAAATTCAGAACTGTATCGTCTGATGAATTGATTGATGATTTTTAGAGGGCTTGCTAGGTGGCCTCTGGACCTCTGGTGCACCACCAATGGTGCACCACCAATGGTGCACATTTTTCCAGTTGACTGCATAGTTGAATAAAAAAAAGGTTAAACCCTCAATTTGGTCCTTGAACTATTATATGTATCCTTGATTTGGTTCTGAAACTAAAAAATTCCTGATTTGGTCCCTCAATTATTATACAAATTCTTAATTTGGTCCTTATTATTTACCAATTTATCTCAAATTGGTCCTTCCGTATAAAAAAATAGCTAACGTGTGCATTAATTAACGGTGAAAAACAATAACTTGATGACCATGTGTCATATTAATAATGAGACATATTAGCTTTTTTTGTACAAAAAGACCAATTTAGGGCAAATTGATAAATAGTATAACCAAATTGAGGATCTTTACAACAATTTAAGAACCAAATTAAAGATTTTTTTATTTTAAAAACTAAATTAAGGATCAGTACAATAATTCATAAACCAAATTAAGGATTTAACCTAAAAAAATGATACTCCAATTATAAAAGTATTAAATACTCTTAATAAATAAAATTTATTTAAATTATTTAAATTCTTTCAAAGCCAACTATAGTCCCTCTACTTTTGTTTGTTGTTCATTGTCCTCCTTGTACTTGCAAATTGTTCAAAGTTCTCCCCCTACTCTTCCAAATTATATTATTGTCGTCCCTCTACTCCAAGTTTCCATGACATTATCCTCCCTCCCCTCAGACCGTCACTAACTCTCATTGACGGTGTTTTCTTGGTTGTTAAGTGGGCTATTTTTTTGTAATAAGTTATTATATTTTAGATAAATTGTTATGAATTGGCCCCACATTATTCCACATAAGGAAGATGAGTGCCAATTTCATTCCACATCAGCCAACAAGATGGGCTCCAAAGTCAGCAATTGATATGAATATGCCTCATTTTTAACACTTTCTTTCCAACACATGTAAGTTTTATGTAATTAGTGATTAGTGATTTAACTTAAAGTTAAGATTTTTAAAAAATTTAAAATTAAAAAAAAAGTACATATCAGTTATAATTTTTAAAATAAATTTAAATTATATCATTTTATTTAATTAAAACTTAATTCAAAATTTAATAAATCATTTTATTAAATATTGATATTTATATTTGAAAATTAATTATATTTTCTAATAAAATCAGTTTCTAAATCTAGGGTATCAATATTTTTTTAACTGAAGTTAAATTAAATCTAGGTATTAATATTTAATAAGATAAATTTTTGAATTTTGAATTGAGATTTCAATTTTTAAATATAAATTGAGACTATTGTTTTTAAGAATCGAAACTGATATATACTATTCTCTTAAAATTAATATATTATAATTTAAAATTATTATCAATTACATAAATGATATGTTTTATAGAGAATTAGAGATTATAATAACTTCCATTATTATTAAAGTTAGGATTTTTTTTAACCTATACCTTAAAAGTGCATTAATTGTATTTTCTTACAATAAATTTTTATAGGATTTTTTAGCTTTTGCAAACAAACACCTACTTCTTTGATTTTTATGAGTAATTAATAAATCTGTAACATGTACCTTCAAGGCACTAATTAAAAAAAAACCCATAAAGTTAATATATATATTTCAAATTTAAAATTATATATTGCTTTGAATAATCACACCATATAACACTCATCCTCTGCAAAAATGAATTATTTTTGAAGCAAAATGTGTCACATAGTATCATCAGAGTGTTGTCACAATCTTTGTAACACATATAGTTAATATATTTAAATTTATAACCAAACACATAAATGATCTACAAGGCACTTGGAATGGGAGAGGATGAGTGTGCTCCCTTTGATTTATGTAATTGATCATAATAAGGGCAAAATATAATGTTTGCTTTTATAATTTTTTATAAAATATTATTATAAAAAGATATAATTAACACCCACTTAAAATATAGATTAGAAAAATCTTAATTTTAATAAAAATGGGAGTTATTACTTATTACGATCTTTAATTCATTGTAAAACAAATCATTCATGTAATTGGTCATAATTTTAAATTGGCAAAAAGAAAATCTCAACTTTTAAGTTAAATCACTAATCACCAATTGCATAAAACTTTCATGTGGTCGAAAGTAAGTGTTAAAAAGTGGGGTCTACTCATAGCAGTTGTTGACTTTGGAGCCCATCTTGTTGGCTGATCTGGAATAATGTGGGGCCAATCAACAATAATTTATCTAAAATATATTAATTTATTAAAAAAATAGCATACTTAACATCCAGGAAAACACCGTTAATGAAAGTTGGTCACGGTGTGAGAGGAGGGAAGACAATGTTATGGAAACTCGGAATAGAGGGACGAGGACAATAGGATGATTTGGAAGAGCAGGGGGAAGATTTTGAACAATTTGCAAGTACAAGAAGGATAATGAACGAAAATCAAAAGTAGAGGGACTATAATTGGCTTTAACCCTTTTAAATATATTAATGTTAAACGAGACAAAAATTTTAGAATAAAAATTTAAGACTAATAATATAATATAAGTTATATAATTTAAAATATTAAAAAAATTGTATATTATTTAATAATTAATTTTTTTATTTTATTAAAATTTATAATATAATATATATCAATTTATTTAATAATATATGATATGCTATCTCATTCATCTAAAATTTTACTTTCAAAACTTCGTGTTGTGTAGCACAACTTTTTAAATAAAGGAAGTTACCTTCAAGTTCCCCAATATCAATTTTTTTTTTAAAAAAAAAGTGAAAAAGTTAGCAACATTAACAAAATTTCAATAAATTACCTAAATTATCAACTTTACCTACCTTACTTTTTAATTCACTTTCCTAATAAAATCTTTTATATGCATTCACTGTCTTACTAAAAACTTATCTACAGAAGACCCCTTAAACCAAATCTCAAAAGTGCTTCAATTTGGTATTTACATAGCCTCGTATTTAAAATTTTCTTTCTTCGGGAGTATGGTTTTAGGGGTGATGCTTGGTGCCCTAATAATGAAAACAGTAGTACTATAAGCATAAAATTACATAAAATTATATATTTATAATTATATATAATATTAAATAAATATATATTTAATATTATGGATTTTTTTTTTAATGAAAAATATATATGTCATCGCTTAAAGAACGAGAAAGTCTGCTGTATCCCCGGATACAGCAACGTGGTATCCCAACCCAATGAGAAAACACCACATCAACATTTTTTTCAGACTTCATCAATCCCAAACCCAAAAAACAACTGATGTGGTGTTTTCCCATTGAGTTGGGATACCACGTCTGCTGTATCCCGGGGATACAGCAGACTTTCTCCTTAAAGAACAAGATCAGTACAGATAGCTAAGGGTAGAGTGCCCACCCATATTCCTTCCCACGGTGATAAGGAGGGATACAGATTTGCCATCCTATGAGCAATATCATTTAAATTTCTGCGTACATATTTGAAAGAACAAGAGTCAAAATAATCTGATACGTTCCTTAAGTTCTTCCATGAAAGCCCCATATGTTAGGTAACACTCATATGAGAAAGCTACCGCTTGCACAGCATTCAGACTATCAGACTAAACAATGATACTACTGCAGCCAAACTCTTTCCCTAGCTAAACCCCAAATCAGATTGCTAAGATTTCTGCATGAGTGACACCGCCTTGAAAGCTCATGGTTTTCTTGCCCACATGCAAGACTCTATCATTGCTATCTTGGAGGACAACTCCAAGACTCACTGTGCCTGCTTGACGTGGAATATTAGCATCAACATTAATTTTAATAGCACCAGCCAGTGGCGGAATCCAAAGTATTTCTGCAGCTGCTGGGTTATGTTCCACCTTCTGCAATCTATCTTCACCCATTGTGATTGCAGCTTTATACTTTTTTATATAATGTCGAATGGCCCGAATACTCCTATCCGGTGACAAGCAAGTATGATTATAGATGCATTTGTTCCTGTTATTCCAAATATACCAGAGAGTTACAGTAGCTATCTCACGGTTTGCTGAACTCATTGCAAGGACAAATTCCAAAAAGTCATCCAAAAATGAGTTATGCTAAATAGAGTGCAAAGAGACTACAGGAAGGACTCCTTTCCACATTGCCTAACTCCATTCACAATCAAAAAATAAATGAAAATAAGATTCCTTTACTGCACTGCAAATACCACACTCCAACTCAATATCAATACTCCTCAAGTGTAGGATATCACGGGAGGGAAAAATCTCCATATTATTCTCCACAAGACATGCTTAATTTTAGGGGGGACATTTAAAAACCAGATTGCTTTCCATACTAGTATTAGGACTTGATCGTGATCATGATGCTCAAAACGAAAGATCAGCTACCATGCATATTTGTTTGTTGATTTAACTGAAAATTTGCCATTATTTGTGCCAAGCCATATTAATCTATCAATAGAACAACTTCTACTAAGAGGGATATGAAGAATTATCTCAACATCCTTGGCACAGAAAGATTGCCGAACTGTAGCTTCTTTCTAGCATCCTCTAGCTTCATGTATTAATTCACTGATCATCCATATTGTGGTGAACAAGAGCCATCTACGGCTGAGGAATGGTTCCTGAAGGTAACCAATTGTCCCTCTAGATCCTGACATCCCGTTCATTGCCTATGCGCCATGTTGATCCCATTTTAAGAATGCTGAGACCAACAATATATAACGCCTCGCCAAACCATTGAACCATTAGCCCCTGCAGTAGCTCCCAGTAGATCACCATTAGGAAAATATTTAGCTTTGAGCACTTGATAGCATAAAAGTGTTCTTATCTTGCATCATGCGTCAGCTTTGCTTGGCCAACATAGCTAAATTAAAAGCCTAAAATCCCAGAAGCCAAGCCCTCCAAATCTCTTCGGTCTACAAATTAAATCTCATCTTAACCAGTGGATTCTTTCGTTTATCAGTGCTATCTCCCCACCAAAAGTTACGATACTATTTAGTGATAGGAGGAAATTTAGTGGTAGCTTGAAACAACCCATACATTATGGGTAAATTTTTAAATAAAAAATTTAATTATATATCGACATATTTTATATAATTATAATTTTATATAATATTATAATTATAATATTTTTATAATAAAAACAAAAAAGGTGAATTTTAATCAAAATTATATGCAGTCCAAAAAGCTGTGAAAGAAGGGTATTTAAAAATGTGAAAGAAAAGAGATTTTACAGCAATTGTGTAAGTGTTTTACTGTGGCATTGTGAGGTTAAAAATATCAAAATAACCTAAAAAATTTGATCAGGAAATTTTCCTCGCATCTAAACGTAAAATGTTAAAATTATCTACGTAACCTTATATAGAGTCCCAAGACTCAACCCCTGGTGCCAGAGTAAAAAAAACAAACAATTCCATGTCATGGCATCAATCAATCTTAACCTTTGACTGGCGCCTCAACTCAAATCACGCATGCAGTAGCAGCTGTCTGCATTAAATATTTTAATTGAAATTAAGATTTAAATTTTTATTAAAATAATCATAATATTTCTTTTTTTACAAGATTTTTCTTAGTTCGGAAAAAACAAAACACAACTCAAATCACGCATACGCAACTAGAGATATTTATATAAAGTATGATGTTTGGAAGTGTTTGGTTTTGTATATATACTAAGTATAAATATCAATTTTAATTCTTCAATTTTAAATTTTAAATATTTTTAATCTTTAGTTTATTTTTTATTTTTTATTTATAAATTATAAAAAATATATTTTTTAATTCTTTTATCAATTAACTTATCCATACATATATATTTTTAGTCCTTAAATCGCAAATATACATATACTATAAATTTTTCATAGTTGACAAATAAAAAATATATAAAGAATAATTTATGAACTAAAAATAATCAAAATTAAAAACTTAAGACTAAAATTGACATTTAACCATATATCAATAATGAACAAAAACAAAGACTCCATCACTAAAAGCAAACTCGCATAGCATAGAGACGATTCATCTAAGCACGTCGGAAAAATGCAGTAAACTGAGACTTCATAAGGTTATGGCAGCCAGCCGCCGGCCGGACTGCCTACATACAAACTCTACGTTTCCATGTACATTAGGAGGTTGCTAAACCATAGTTGATGGTTTATTAAGAACATTCTTTATTGTGACAAAAAGGTCAGGCAGGCTTGACTCCATAATACATAACGGTTCTTGAACCACCACCAGCCATGCTTAATCGACTTTTCAGGTGCTTTTCCCAGTAGCTTTGCCCAAGGAAGTGAAATTCAATCTGCAAATAAACATAGCAAGATGATTGTTGTGTGCTCATACCCAGAATGAATAATACTACTTATAGGACCACGCATTACCTTATGAGTGGCTTCCGCTGTGCCACGGGTGCAGGAGGTATCGGATTTAATACTGGAGGTGTAAGTTCTGCAGCCTGCAGAAGGAAAAATAGTAACAGTATCAGAATTGCTCCAGTGTTCCTACAAAGAACATGCCTCTCACGTTTGTATTCCTGGATAGATTAGTTGCAATGTTAAAGCAATACTTAAAACAAAATTTACATATTCCAGGTTGATAAGAGCTAGAAATCACATAAAGAGTAGCATTTCTAACACAAGATATATGAATCCAGTCACAAGTTTTTTCTCCAAAGGCTCAGACTTTCAATTTATAAGGATTTCTGCCCTTCCAACTTCAAATCTTTCACGCCAAACATAACATTAACTTTTTTAGTCTGCTTAGTCTTCTAACAAAAGCAGAAAAGAGGAAAAAGTGCTAAGAACACTTCTGAACAATCAACTCAAAATCCAGAAAAAGCCTTTAGCTCTCAGGACATGAAGTCCTGGGTTCTACACCCAGGCACTACTAATTCCCCACCCCCAAAATTTCCCTAAGTTCAAAAAAAGAAAAGAAAAGAGGCCTTTAGCTCAAACCACAAGCAGAGCACAAGCAAATCCCCATAAAAGGGATTAACATAAGCATATGGTAATGATAGAAGATGCACCTAGAAGAAAAATAGTAAGTTACAAGGTTAACAGAAATAACCTCAAGCTCCTCTATACCCCCATTAGACTGCAGACCACTAGAAGGAACAGGTCCATTGCTTGACAATGCTCTGGCAGCATTTGAAGTTGAAGATTCCGAATGGCTACATTTTGTGATTCCCTCGGAAATCTTTGCTTGATTTTTGAATTCAAAATCATCTTCAAGCTCCTCAAGTTCTTGCTGAGAAGCCTGGTGTGCACCATACGGACCAGACATTATCTTCTCAATTGCCAGCTTCTCTGCCTCTTTAGAGGTTGATGTGTCTAAAGTTGCAGAAAATTCCTTACTGGAAGGAGGGCATCTTATTGATCTATCAACCTCAACATTGTGAGACAAAAGCTCCTCTACATCATTAAAATACATTAAGCCATTTGTAATGTTGCTGTCATCTTTATCTCTCCTAGATTCAGCCAAGTTATTAGCATCCATATGGTCACTCTTTGTGGAACAAGATCCAACAGTACTACCCTCATGAACTTCTACAGTACAGGACACAGTAGCAATGCATTTCCCATTTCTTGATTGAGCATCCACATTATCATCCAACCTCTTCCTCTTCTTTCCATCAACATGTCCATCTGGAACTCCTTTTACTTCAGGTGAATTCTCTGATGCAGCTTGGCTAGAAGCTTTTGCATCTAAAGCCCGCCTGCTATCCCAAGTAACTTTGGATGGGCGAGAAGGTCTGACACCACCAGGAAAAACAAATGTAGGTATGTTCTTACGTTTTACATGGGTAACATTGATCTCCATTCCAGGCTTCCAGGATGAGTAGGAATTGACAGAATGCTTAAACTCATCAACGGTTAACCTTATATCAAACTGTCCACCTTCATTTACTGGAACTCCTTGCTTGCGTTGCAAACCCATGAAGTAAGAGCAGTGGAAGGGTCTGGATTTGTCTTGAAAATCACGTGGATGTGGGTGGCACTGAAGCATATTATAAGTGTGCCTCTCAATCTAGAGTTGCAAATAAACAGTTAGCAGTTGAATTAGGATTTCACAGATTATAAATGGAAAATAACATAGAGAAGGGAAGAGAGAAAGCCACTTTGGTTTTTTACTGGTAAAAGGTGTGGTGAGGAAGAAGCAAACCTAGTATTATTTTTGTTGTACCAAAAAATTGGCAAAAAAAAGCACTGCTTCACCTTTAATGTAAGTTGACGGATACGGGATTCAACCCAGCCTTTCCAATTTCTTAAATGATCAGCGTTTTCTGCAGCAATATCTATTTGTAGATAATTCTTGTAGGCTTCAAAAAAAGGATAAGGTTCAAATAGAGTATCCCAATCAGCTTTATTTGACTCCATAGCCTGCAAGCCAAAATAATGTCAAGTTAAAACAGAAATCAAAGAAAGGAAATATGATAAATTAAAATTTGAAAATGTTAAGATGCTTGGACATAAAAGTGCACTGAATATCAACACCATTCCTGATGCTTGGGCAGGAAGTAATTCCATGGGAAAAGTTTCAATCGACAATAATTACTAAAGATGAATATTTATATGCTGATGGATAATAAACTCACTTAAAATTGAATTCAGAATAGAAAAAAAAAAAAAAAATGGACCCACCATGCACCAATAGATCATACCTCACAAATTTCATTACCCCTCTGAAACTCATCTGTCATAATTCGCAAAGTACTTGATGAGACATTGTAGCTAGAGTTCATGCAAGGATAAGCGGGAGTAATTATAGGCATCAAATGGTATCTGTCTTTTATATTCTTTCTGGGATCCCAAATTTGAAGACCAAGTGATCCTTCTTCAATTGCACAAAGCATTACTGGATTTGGCCAACGCCATTGAGTATATACCCTAAAGAATCGAGACACTAACATATTTGGCAGTGCATTAGGATACAGCTGGCATATACGAGCAACAAGCAATGCCCAGTTTATACCACCAAGAAACCCAGAAACCTGCCCATAACATGGAAAAGATGCTTCTGTAAATTCTTCAATTTTTTTTTATCACTTAAATTCTACAAATTAAAAACGGTAGAAACTTCCATAAGTGAGAAAACCCTCCCATACATTAGAATAAACACCACGACGCTTTGCCCAAAATCTCATGCATCTCAAAGTTGTCCTGAAATTCTGCAACTCAAGAAAGAGGAACTTGATCAGGTTCAAAAATCCTAGAGGTAAAAGTTTAAATACAATCTATGAGCCCAATAATACAAAAGTAAATCTAAAACCTGAATATTTGGAACCAAACGCAAAATCTGGTCAGTAACTCGGCAACCATTAAGACTACGGACTGTCTGTTCATCTGCATTCTGTAGGATTGAGTCTTGGGAAATATCCAAGTCCTGTGACCGAATTAGCACATGTTAGATGGAAAATTTTCAGAATAAACTTCAATATTGACATAGGACTCTAATAATTTAAGCTTGGGAAAAAGGCAAGGGAGCAACCAGAGCATAGAAGAACAAAATTTCTAAAATTACAATCATAAACTCCTCAATATTCAGAGCAAACTTAGAAAATACTGCTGTTCTCCCTCGTAAATATCTTCATATAGAATAAACCTAACAGAATAACATTTTAACGATACATTATATAAAGACTGCACATAGGCTGACATCTAACAATACATACTAAGTTTAACACATTAACTAGTTTCTTCTAATGAGTTAATAATTCTTCTTATTGTGACCTTTGGCCTCATTATGCATCATAAATGTAGGGGCTGTAGTCACAACCTCCATGAAGAAACCAAAAGTGGGAGACTAGGAACCAATTCAATACGCTTTATGAATCATGCATACAATCATTCAGTGACTGACCAAAAGAATCATGGGTACAATCCATTACAAGATAAAGCAGAGCTTTAACCTACATCTAGTTGTAATGGAACCTCTAAAACTGCACACAAGTGGACTCTAGAGAACAAGAACAGAACACCAAACAGCCGAAGTTAAAGCTCTATGAAAATAGCAACAAGTTGCCTAATTAGTTAGAGCTTCTTTCTAATCAGTGTTGCAAAAAGCACACCTAGGCACTATGTGGTGTTCTGCTGCCTCACCTAGGCCCTAGGCAGTGGAGCTAGGCATTTCTTCTATTTTTTAGATTTTCTGATTAATTTTGGCATTTTTTTGTCCAAAAAAAAAAAGGAAAAGAAAAAGAAAAAAGCCTACAGCGCCTAGGCATAGTGGCCCAATGCCCATCATCTCCTAGCACTTTCTGCAACATTGTTCTAATGATACCTTTCATGAAAAATATTGATACTTAGAAAACAGAAGATAATGAGATGGGAAAGATGGCTAGAACTACTACTTACTAGTGAAAGTTGGACCCTAAATTAAAAACTACAGTGACAAAACCAGAGATTACTTCAGGAATAACCCAAAGTGACAGTTC